TAATACATATTTTTTATTACGGCATTTTATTCTACGTAAAAAAGCAGACAACTTTTGCTTGAAAAAATTTGTTATAGGACCTCTATTTTCTAAGATATTTACGTAAATATCTACAAAATTATTGAAACCAATAATTTTGTAGATATTTTCATAAATATTTTAGAAAATAGAGGTAGTATAAAAAAATTTTTCAAACAAAAGTTATTTATTTCTTTACGTAGAATAAAATTCCGTAATAAAAAGTATATGTTTCTATTTAAAAAAGCAAAGTTGATCTATATCTGACTTTGGTGACGCCACGCAAGGTCAAACCAATAATACCTTTTTATGTCCTCCATCAAACCATATAACTTCGATTTTAAACATTTTTCGCTATCAACCCTATCTTCGCAGTAATTTGCGTGGATCTATTAAAATGGATCATTCTATATTTTAGGAAAGGTAAAAGCATTAAAATTAGGAAAAAATTCGTATATTTATTTTTTCTTGAATATTTCATGAAATATGCACAAAATAAAATATAAGGCAAAAATATTTGATATCTAAATTTAAAGTTACATTTCTCCACCTGCGAGCATATTTCTTAAAAATCTAATTGGAATAAAAGTTTTAAAATCATTAAAACTTTTAAAATGATTATTTTTATTAGAAGAATGAATATACACAAAAACATATTTTTCTACATTTGAGTTTTGACAGAACCCGAATTCTGGGCCACCAGGACTTTACTGTCAATTTGAATCACTTGACAGATGAGCAGAAACTGACTCTAACAGGCAAACTAATTCTAACAGGCTTTTAATCTTTAAATATCCCTACCACAATTTTTTTCTCCATAGGAAATCCGTCAGTAAAAGTGCGTAGATTTTTGACAAATTTTCGGTAATTAAAATCGTTTGGGTACAATTAGTCCCAGGCAGTGGCGTAATCAGGGGAAGGGCTGAGGGATTGCAGTCCTTCCCGAAATTAATTTTCTGGATTACGCTAAGTGTGAAAAACATTTTTTCGAATAACCTTATTTTTGCTCGTCAAAAATAAAAAGTACAGTCCCCTCGAAACTTTTTTTAGCTACGCGACTGGTTTCAGGGGTCCATTTTGAAAGTTAAGATATTTTTTAAAGGTTATTTTATAGTAAATTTCGATTTTGTGTAAATAGATTATATACAGTGTGTCCCATAAGTTCGGTAACAGCAAGAAAACTCGGCGGGGGAGCATTTTAGAGAAAAATGTTTCGAATAAAAGTTGTAAGGCTTAAAAAGTCGCATTTAATGACAGTAGTTATTTGACCTAAGATGACGTCGCCAAGGTCAGGACAAGGTCAACTTTGCTTTTTTAGATAGTAATACATATTTTTTATTACGGCATTTTATTCTACGTAAAAAAGCAGACAACTTTTGCTTGAAAAAATTTGTTATAGGACCTCTATTTTCTAAGATATTTACGTAAATATCTACAAAATTATTGGTTTCAATAATTTTTTACTTGAATTCTATCAACTTTACCGAAAAAT